AAAGGAGATGAAACACCTCAGTTGAAAGTCATTTGCAATTGGATGGTGCGCGCAAAAGCTGCCCACAAGGGTCATCGATGACACATCCGCAACTATGTACATACAAACGGTGAGAGTGCGTTCATCCAATGGCACACCGTATACAAGTCATTTGTTGAACACCTACGCACACTTGTTCATTGTGCTAGCGGATCCGTCGACCGCGATGAAGCAGAATATTGACTAGTGTATAGCGAAGCAATGCCTGTGTGCAACCGCAAAAATTTAGGAACTCCCTCAATCACCTTTTGGCACCGTGTCTATGGTCTAGACCAACAAAAATCGTAAACGAAAGATCTATAAAACAAGCCTTAATCACGTGTCTCCCTTTTGATTCTCCCAAGCATAAACAGGTGTGCCTACCATACCAAGAGCAGTTAGTGGTGCTTTCACACGCTCTGAAAAACGTGTAGTAAACAACACACACCACTGCCTTCTGGTGCTAGCTCACTCATGCGCACACTCAATCCAAAGGGTTTATTGCTGGTGCAGTTGTTGAGTGTAATAGAGCATCCAACAGTTATCAAAACCGTGAGCTAAAGCTAATGGGTGTTAAGACAGGTGAATATTTTTGCCACCGTACGGTAGAAACGCTAATCACATGTTCTACGTTCCATGAAAGCTGTTCATAGGGAGAATAATAGAGAATGGCATGGGTAGTGAACTTGCCAGTGCGGCAGTTAGTTCAAAACCGAAAAGTTAGAGCATCACCTCCTTCCATTCATGTTAACAAAGGCTTTAAAACGTGTTCCAAAAAAACAAGTCCTTCATCAGCACTCCAAAAATTAACCACCAGATAAGAGGGAGGGGGGAGTTTTCACGTACAAAGCAACACTAACTAAGGAAGAATGGAAGCACAACCGTTTACCACGTGGCAGGCAAGACTACAATTGTTATAAACTATCTTCAACGCCGATAATCATGATCATTAACAAGATCCAACTTTCAAATTTGAAGAAACACTCGAACAGTCTATCAATTCTTTCAGTGCGGTAGTAGTAAAGCATCTACAGGTGTGGATCCGACACGAACACCAAACCTCAATTCAAAACGTTCCCGAAGAGTAGTAGGTGGAGGCAAGCATGAGTGGATGTGAATAAAAACTGGAGATCTTACTTTGACAGGTTTGTAGCCGATGCCAGCGATAAAGGGTGTTTGCAAAACATTTCCGTCGGAAGACTGAGTTTTCGATTTCCCGAAGAGGGTGTGAATGCCCTTAGAAACTTTCTCAGGATTAGTCCTGGTAGCAAAACCGTTTGTGGAGCCCAACATGAGGCTTAGCAGAGCCGACGGATTATCCAGGGTAGCTTGCGTGCACTGTGAAAGATTCAAGAAGGGCAGATCTACGGGGAAAAGGAAATCCGTCTTTCTAGCCGTCAGCACCACCTTGGAGTCCTACAATTCAAAAACGTACACAGTCTAATGAAGGAAAGCAGCAGGCACACTAGTTTTTCACAGACTGATACGAGGTAATAAAGCATAGTTAAGCAAAGATGTCATGAAAAAAAGATGTTTCTATTTGTCTTCGCTTCGATGGATTGTGACTAAGATCGAATATGCATCTGAAACTGTTTGAAAGACGGTGAATTATTACTATTGTTTTACATTTCAATACGCGATTCCCGTAAATCATCGAGTATTATTTGTTTCCTTGGCTCTTTTCCAGTTCTGTTTAAGGCTTTCGCGGCATGACACCGATGGAAGTAATTCAAGCGTCTGACGGTATCCACTTGGTGGAGCTCCACATGATCTGACCATTACCTCGCCCTTGAACCAAATGGCTAGCATTTGCCTTAACAGAAGCAATCCAAGGTACGAAAATGAGAAGTGTCAATTACTTCTATCATTCTCGAAAAGTACACAGAAGATGCCGATCGCAACGAAAAAATTGTCCGAAAAAAGACTATGGCTGAAATTCAATTGTACCAAACAGCCACTTGCATAAGCATTGTGCCTTAGTATCAAAGGGATCACTAACGCACAGTGTACAATTCTCGACCGTAACACTGCCCTGCCTAGAAAAGAGACAAACGCAATTCTTTCAAGGTTTATCAACTGAAGTTTGACCGCAACCCAAACAATTATAAGGGGAACGTCAAACTCGGGCTGGACCTTGGCAACTCACAATAAACCAATGAACCAGGGATATAAAGGTCGTGTAGCATCAATAATGGAACGGAATCGTACAAACTAGTGATAAATTGTTGCCAAGAGAACAGAGTTGTTGCGAGGCCTGGTAGTGTATA